CTTACAGCACCTGGTACTCTCAAGCGGTCACCCATCTAGATACTGACCAGGCTTGATGTTGCTTAACTTCAGTAACTGTATGGGAACAGGTGTTTCAACATGATGTAGCCGTAAGCCCCGTTTCGCTTTCGCAGATAAACTAGTTAAATCATTGTGAGAAAAAAAACCCCCAAAAAACCCTGAGATATCGGATTTGAGTTCAAGTCTCTGTGAGAGCGGCTACTTTCTTTTTACTATTTTTTCCTGCTTACTTTGAGTCATAGGGTATTTGACCATGAGAAAAAATATCTATAAGACAACGATCTCATCTAAGAGTTCCAATAATTTAAAAACATTCAATAGATTCTTATTATTTGGCATGTTGAAGACACACTGAATTATACCCTCCTACCACCAAATATGAAAGGTAACCATTTTAAAAGACCATGGTAAGAATAATAACTTGGGAAATATCATAAAATTAAAACAATTAAAAGTAACATTGAGAAGACAAAGATAAGAATGAAATATTTAAGATATAAAAAGCAAAAAAGCACAAAGACACAAAGTTATGTGTGTGTGTTGATCAAGCAAAGTTGAATAGAACTTTAAACAAAAATTTTCCCAACTCTCAAAATATGTATATCTGCCCAGTTTCGTGTTCTAATATAAATGAAGCAATTTCTTAAATGATGAATTTTTATTTACTAATCCAACAGATTTTATTACTTAACATTATTTTTAGTGGATACCCATATTTGAGTAGACACTATTTATTTATTAAACAGTATATTTATCTATCTTTGTCTACGGGCCAGAATATTTGAATAAAATAAGTGATCTCTGCCAGGGGAAACTGCCATTAAATCCAAAGTCCTTTTATTTATTTAAAAATAAGGATTATTATTGAGGAAATTGTAGCCAGGGTAAGCATGAAGTGAGACTGCCATGACATTTGCAACAATTTTGCTCCATTAATCAAGGGTGATAACTAATAAAGTTACCACCCACCCATTTTATCAAAAAATAAATTAAAATTATTTACAGGAGCTCCCTTACTTACATAATAGGTTCATGCTGTTTGTATATCCAGTAGTATGTCATACTTTTGATGTTACAGTACTTTATTCTACCACTTGTTCTTGATGTTGCTTAAGGAACACATATATATATATATATATATATAACAAAAGGAAAACTTTTTCCTTCTTTGGCTAAGAAAATCTTTCCTTTTAGCTTTATTCATAGTCCTTTAGTCCTTTTACAGATGTATTTTTAGTTATATTTGAATATATATATATATATATATATGCTTACACTCACTACAGTTAAAAATGAAAAAGCTCTTAGAGTCATTGAAAAAAAAAAAATAATCAAGGAATCAATAATCACACTTATACTTTGAGAAACTTTTGCAACAAATGCCAAAAATTTGTGCTGCAGTAATCAAGGATAAAGGTGGATATTTTGACAAGAGCAAAATTTAATCATAAAATGCTTTTTTTTCTTTTTGTCATAAAAAAAAAATCACATCTCATTTTTTTTTTTAAAACCATATATAATAATTTTCTCTTATTTAAATTACAAAACTACTTTTTGGGCGAATACAAAAAAATTACCACAGATGTCCTCAAACTTTTGAGCTGTAGGGTGTGTGTGTGTGTGTGTGTGTGTGTGTGTGTATGCGCGCGCACACACAAGCGGAAGTGATGCGTAAATTGTTGGCATTTAAATTTTTTAATTTCAAGCATGCACGTTGTGTGTTTTTGTTGACTGCACAGTATAGTAAGGTCATTTTGGCATCTATGAGAAAAAGAGCACAATGTCACAATTCACTTCACCAGAAATTTGGAATCAGCATGCTTGGCATTTGTGCCAGAAGTTCCAATGCAAACATTTCAGGGTGTCATGCACCAATCTGAATTCTCTGCAACTCAGAAAACTCACTGTGATTGTTCTGATAAGAAAAGAACTTCTGAATCTGTTGGTGAGGGCCTCAGCTGGAGGCCTACATCAAGAACCTTGTGGAAGTAGCGCTGCCCTGGGTCAAGAGGGTGGCTGCAGGAAGACCCTATGTCTGGCAGCAGGACTCTGCACCATGCCACACAAGCAGGAGAACCTAGTCATGGCTGTCAGACAATTTCTGCAACCACATCACTCCTTACATATGGCCACCCAAATCCCCAAACTGCAACCCCCTTGATTATTGTGTGTGGGGCGCAGTTGAGCAAAAAACCAACAAAACTCCTTGTTAACACTAAAGATGACCTGAAGGCAAGGACTATGGCAGCATTCACCAACTTAAGCAAGGAGATTCTCCAGAAGAGTTGCAAGAGATTCCGAAGTTATCTGGAGGCCATGGTTGAAGCCAAAAGCGATTTTATAGAATAAATTTACTCTTTAGTATTTCAAGATATTTTTGTGTAATTTTGGTAAATATCTGTTAAAATGAGATGTTAGTATTATTTTCATTTTTTTTGTGTGTGTGTGTGTGAGAGAGAGCGCAATTTAGACGACAATTTATCTATCGCACACTGTATATGTGTATGTGCACAGGTGCGAGAGAAATTTTCTTAAAGTAACATATATAAGTTATTTCAACTCTTTTGATTGACATAGAAATGCTAAAATATTTATGATGGCACCCTAACATATGTTTTATCTCTCCTTTGAAAGTTATGCCACTCAGTTTGAACAATTTATATTGGTACTGCTTACTGTAGGTAAAGAAAGTTAAAGACTCATTTTCAAAATCATCACATAGTAACTTTCAGTTGTAAACATTTAACAAGGCCTCACTAAAGTAGAGGAGGTTTACATGAAGACAAAGTTTTTTTTAAACAAGGTTGACACTTTTTTTAAGGGAGATAAACCGAGCTTAAATTCCTGCACCAGATATATTCATGTAATCATAGCTAAGCACAAAAAAAACCATAAAGACCCAGCGAGACAATAGCAACCATGTTGTTTATCAAGTGAGGCTGAACAGCTACAGTAATGCATTCTATTGTGTGTGTGTGTATGTTTTTTTTTTTATAATGATATACAAGTTTTGCCTGACCGTTGAAATAAGTCTGGGAGCCACTCAAAGTGGATTATGCGGATCAGTGGGGAAGATAATGGTTAACCCTAGACTTGAACAGGTTAAGATTGTAGTGTTTGGGGAAGCATCCCTTTGGGAGTTGGTTCCACAAGGCTGTGGTTCATGGGAAGTAGCTGCGCAATTAGAACTTACTTATCACTAATTGAATACAAAGAGAATAAGGGTGATTTGTTACAATGTGCATAGCATGGTGAGTCTTAGCCGTGAAAGTTAGAATGTAGTTCGTTTGAGCACTTAATATATTAATTGAGATAGAGCAGTGAGAGGCTTATGACATTGTGAAAAAGGGGTTGTTGGGTGGAAAATAATCTGTCACCCACAAGGATGCAGATATGCTTTTGGACTGTCAAAACTGGAAAGTGAAGATTGGGCTGCTCCTGACCATATATGCCAACAACACTCCATTGTTGGCCTGATCTGGCTTTTGTAAAGACAGGAGAGCAGGAGGAGTCAGGTGTGGTGTAGTAATCAAAATTTGGATTTTAACCATTAAAATTCTGGAGGTGATTTTGTTTGCAAAACAAAAGATTTTATCCTGCCACTGACTCAGATGAATGAATGACAGAATATTTGAATTTTGCAGTTGTGTTGTCATATCCTGCCATGGCAACAGGAAATGACCATTACTGAAAGTAAGCAGTGCAGTAGAGGAGCCTTGAAAAACAATGCAGTGGAAAAGAAAGTAGTGAATATTGAAGTGTATTGAAGGTTAAATACAGGTTTGTTTATATCTTCAAATATTTCTAAGTAGGAAGGGGCCTGTCTTTGATTAAAAGGATTGTGTTGGCAAAAGAGATTGGATACCATTTCTTGAATAATAAAAGATAATCAAACGTATAATGATCATCCCAAATAAGAAAAACTTTAGCGCAAGCAGAATCAGCAGCAAGAAAAATCAAGTCAGAAAAATCATCGGTGAAAAAAACAAAACCAAGCGAAAGAAAATAAAAATAAAAATAAAAGCAGCAGCAGCAAAGAATCACTTGAAAAAGACGACTACAAGTGCGTATCTTTCAGATGAGATTTATTAACTTTTACAGCAAAACTGCCTGAATTGCTAAGCTTTTCTTGTCTGTTTTGTGACAAGAACATGGGCCAAGACAATCATCACAACCTTTGGATTATCACAGAAAGTTTTAAAAATAATTTTATTCTCTTTTTGGATGGAGTTTAAAAAAATATCTTGGTTTAAGCCAACAGAATTTTAGTCTGCCGATTCTTTTCTTTGCGGATTTTTTTCTTTTTAGTTGAAGCCGTCGCTCGTTTTAACCTGCCTAAGACTTGTTTGTAATTCTCAAAATGTGTCTGGAACTGAATGTCTAAGTGCAAGTGTCTCCTGTCTATTTCCGATTGCAGCTTTTTAGGGGTCAGCAGCAAATACAATTTCTTCAGGGTTTTGCCTGACCTCTGAAATGACAATAAATCGTGTCAGTAAGCCTGCTGAAGAATTTTTGGAGGGTCGGGGGGGCTTATGAAAAAAAAAAAAAAAAATTAAAATAAAATAAAAATCTTAAAATTTAAAATGCTAATAATAGGAAATTACCAAAAGCCAAATTTTCTTTTCTGTAAATTGAATTGAAAGATGAAAACAACAAATCTGAGAAGATTATAAAAAAAAAAAAGAAGATATTTTCATAAATAAATGATCAGGCAAATGAATGTATTTTCTAAAACTGGTGGAAAAAAAAAAAAAAAAAAAAAAAAAAAAACTTTAATTATAGAGAAGCAAAAAGAAAATAAAACAAAAACTCAATATGAACTCGGTAAAAATAGGGAGAGGGGCATAAAGAAAGAAAGAATCAGATACTAATTGGTAAATAATCATATAATAGCTAAAAATCAAAAATTCATTACCAATAATTCATGACTCCAATCAATTGGGTGGTATGCACCCTCCACCAATAGCCACATACCAACCTAAAAAAATTGCTTTGTTATCTGTGTAACTCTCAAAATAACATTTCTGAAAAATCTACAGAGTGAAAGAGAGAAATATATATAAGAAAACAAATTGTTGTCAACAGCTTTAAG